AATTGATATAATTATATAATAATAATTTAATGCCACATCATCAGATCTAAACAGAAAATGAACACGTATTAAAATGCTACTTTCATGGTTTATTGTGTTAGAAGTGTTAAGTTGAATGTTTAAAGTATCCGTCAAAAATTTTAGAGGTTTAAAGCGTTAGTATCTTTCACTTTCGGAGATTTTTTATGCAATTTTAGTTTTAAGAAAATTTTAAACTAACAAACGTACGATTGATATGTCGGCACTGATAACATTTGGGCCTCCCTAAATGGTATTAGGCCTTTGATAAACACGATATGCCTCTTAAATCGTCGACATATTCATTAACCGTATTATTAATTGGGCCCTACCCTATTCTATAGTTCAAACCTTAGAAAAATTTATTTGAAAAGCTAGTTGAGTATTGATTGATTTTTTCGCTACTATCCGCAAACGCTACAAGATAATATAAAAAGGGGGATTTCGTGAAACGCTAATCATTAAAAGCTTTATTCAGAAAGTTCAAATAACAACAACAAACGCCAATTAAGGGAGTAATTTTTCTTAGTTCATAATGGTAATACTTTTAATATTTTTTTATACACGTATTTGTGTCTTTTAATATTTTTCTATACATGTATTTGTGTCTACCGCGAAGGTCGGAACGTTTCAATTTAAAAATGAATATAGTGAGCCAGAAGACTAAAGTTAAATAAACATATTTAATTATTTATATAAGAAAAAGTGAGAGCGTTTGGTCTCATTTATTCTTCTTTTTCGAGATTTGTAAAACTAAGAGAGGTGAGAGCGTTAAACGATGAAGAAGAACGCACTTTGGTTTCTGTGCGTTTTGGTGTTACCGGCGATAGCTTTTGGTAGTAAGGAGGAAGACCTGGTCACCGGTTTACCCGGTCAACCATCGGTTAACTTCAGACATTACGCTGGTTACGTGAATCTCGGACCACAACAGAAGCAAAAGGCACTTTTCTATTGGTTCTTCGAAGCTCAACACAACTCTTCTCACCTTCCTCTCGTCCTCTGGCTCAACGGAGGTCAGTT